ACTTCAACTCTTAAGCATACATAAACTTCCTTTAAGGTACGACAAAAACCTGCTACGCGAATTAAATAACGGTAAAAAACTTAAAATAATTTTTTACAACTAATGCAAATCGATTTTCGCAAACGCACGTTTGAGAGCTTTTAAAAAAAAAAATAAAAAAATAAAATTCTATATTACATAAATTTTAAAAGTTATGGTACGATAATAATAATAATAATAATAATAATAAGCGTAAAAATTTAATAGCTGTGACAACAAGAAATTGAACTTATGTAAGAGAATAATAATAACGGAAATGGAAGATATCATCACGTAGGCGATTTAAAAAAAAATGACTTTTAATTAATTTATTTAATGTTATTGATAATTAAATGGTATTTAAAAAAAATTTAAATAAATATCAAAAGATACAGCCGATTCGATAAAATATATATGCATATAAAATAATAATAATGATAATATTAATAGCGAATATTAATGTACCGGGGTATTCATTCGCACCTTGAACGAAAATTTCTCAAAGACATTATTACGACAAACTACGCAAAAATTAAAATAATTGATGATAATCGAAAAACAATTTTGATGAATCTCACAATTAATTAAATTCAATAAATTTTTATTTAATTTAGCAAAACTTTGTTCGTTATTTAATTTAGAAAAATATTTTCTCTCCGATTTGCGATGATTGATTTAAAATAATAATAAAAAAAAAAAAAAAAAAAAAAACTAAATTAAATATTCGTTTGGATAAACACACACGAACGCCAAAGTATATAAAAAAAAAAAAATGGTCGATCGTTATAATTGAGTAATTACCGGTCAATTTTATCGTCGTTTATCGCGTGCCACGACTCAAAGAGAATAATTCAAAACACGTTTTAAAAAAAAAAAATACTTTTCAATTATTAATAATCTATTCTGATGAAAAAAATAAAATAAAATAAAATAAAATAAATTACAACTAATGAAAATTTAAATTGACAAAATCTTCGACGATCAAAAGCGAGAAAAGAAAAAATGGAAATTTTTTAACAATAACGCAAATCAATTGAAACAAACAACACACACTCATAGAAACACACGCGCACACACACATGAGACAACACGTGAGTAAAGTTAACACGCACAGACAAGAGACTAACGAAAATGCATAGAAGA